TAAGCATAGGTGCAGGGAGGGTCAAAAGTGCATCTATGTACACACATCCCATGCACCAAGTTGCTGGACAGGCCCAGGGGTATCTGGAAAATTCTGCACTTACTTTACACAGGCCCCTGTGCCACTGGGAACATGATATTAAATAGAAAATTAAAAACATTGTGACAGGTAGAGAGAAACAAAGAAAGGAAAGCTCCTTTTTTCCTGATCTTTGAACAAGAGATCCTGAGGGGTTTTACGTCCTGAGTTCTGCAAACGAGGGAATCAACCCAAATGTGGACTCATAGGAGCATGAGCGATTGATGGATATGTATCAATTAAATGAACAGGGAGGACTTATGAGAAGAAGCTCCGCCCTTCGTGATTATTTCTGGTCTGTCTGAGAAAGCAAATTTAACCCAAGAAGGGTGTGTCCCTGAAGACATCACACTGCAGAAGAGATTATGTGGTTGTCATAAGCATGTTCTCCAAAGGGATTCTATAGCTATCATAAACCAGGACACAGCCCTTGCATTGCTTAATTACATGCAGAACAAACAATTCTTCTAAATACTCTTTTCAAATACTCTTTTTCAAATAATAAATAGCTGTAAAGCCAGAAGTAACTAGAAGTATTGGAAGCATCATAAACAAGTTTTTCAGCTTTTGTGAACAATGTTGGGAGGAAAAATGTGATCATTAAAAAAAGGTGAATTTATCTTTTTCGGCAAGAATTATCCTTCCAAAAGTTTTCTATTGGTCCCATGTTGAGGAAAGAGTTGATTTTTTAAAATGCACGTATATGTTTTGCTTGTTAGAAAATGTACATTGGGGGGCTTTTTAGCACATTGTTCATTAGCAATCTGGAAAGTACAAGCAAAACACATGCATGACAAATCACAATGCCAATGCTTGTTAGTGCAAAATATATTATATACATGTTTATAAAAATCAATTACCTTTCATGGCAATTTCTAAATTATCCCTGCAGTATTAAAAACCATGTTCATTATTTTAATAAATAAAACCTCAACTTTATTGCTCAATAAAACTGAGAAAAATCCAAAATAAATAAATAAATCAGTACAAAGAAACTTCCTAATTGAAGACAGAAGACAAAATGGGCTGTGGTCAGGGACAGTGAGGGTCCCTCTGTGGAGGAGGCTGATGGCTGCTGGCCAGAGGTGGATGAAGGGTGTATGCTGGGTTCTGCTTCCACTATAGGCACATGCCTTTGGTTCTAGGAGCATCCATGGTCATGGGCATCACTATGTCCCTGGTCTTGGGGGGATGCTATTGACTCCTGTCCGACTTTCCTCAACTGACAGTGATGATAGTTTAGTTTTTATTTTTATATAGAAGAAAAATTCATGGAGAATTAGGATTTATGTTTTACCATATTTGTGGCTCACATAATGTCTTTATTTGCAGTAGCCCCAGAAATTTCCTCTGATTAAAGAGAAAGATATATGCCCCTCCCCACCCTGACACCATGTCAACAGAGGAGGTGCAGAAACCAGCTGATCAGTACCTCCCAGCCCCAACAGCCTACGAAATCCCAGTAGACAAGAAGAATGTGACCCTTGCTGCTGGGCCCTAGATTTTATCCTCAGTACCCATGCAGGGCCACAGAAAATTCCAAGAACCCTCAACTCATTGCTATACCAGGCCCAGAAGCAGTGCCCTCCTCATTTAGAATGTTTGCCTGACCAAGGATGCTCTTGGAAAAAAGATGTCTACTTTTGCCTTCCTAGAAACCCAGACAGATCCAAACCCCAGAGGAGTTTAGAGAGCTGGAGCCAGGAGAGATGAAATGCTATGCCCTAACTAGCCACAGCTAGACCTTATTCAGGCTCCTAAACAGAGATAAGATGTTAGGGTAGAACGTATTTAGGGGCCATGACCCCTAGTCCCCCATGCTCAGTGGTCAGAGCCTGCCTCCAGGTTCCTCAGCTTCACAAGTGCCTAAGAAAAAGAGACCATGTCTCCTTTAAGGCAGGGGCAGTTTGGCTGTTCTGCCCTCCTAGGATGACTGCACTCCTGTCCTTCCTGAGAAACATGGATGAGGGAGGGGCTGGCCATTTCTGGATCTCTGGGATGGGATGCTTGTTGGTCATAGCATGGGGACAGCATGGGCCACCCACAGTTCCCTTCTGCATGACAGAGTCTGGTTCCCCTCACCCCAGAGAAAGGGTTTTCTAAAACCCCTAGTGGGTGATCAGGTTGGGCTGGAGGCCCCAGGAGGAAGGGGTACGGGAGGTGAAAACAATAACCTCAGGTGATGCTGCGAGGCTTTTCTGAGTGAACACTTCCAAGCCTGCGGCTGTTCCGGGTACCAAGTCCTGCTGAGAGATGTCCTGGGTCCTCTGGGACTGCAGGGGAGGCCCAGGGCCAAAGGAAAGAGAGAGGGGGAGGAAGGAAAGGAGGGACAGAGACAGAGAGAGAAAGCAGGAGAGAGAGACATACAAAGTCCATCAATAGCCCAGTTTTGTAAGTCCCACCTCCTTAGGACTTGCGCATTCGGTCAGGAAGGAGCCACTCTGTGGGTGAGACAGAGAGGGACAGCCCTTCTAAGACACTTAAGGGAGGGAGTCCCACAGTCAGCTACAAGACAGTACTGAGGTCCCAGACTGTCCCTTGAGGCCTGCCCACTAACATTGTGGAATTTATGGAACCACACCATTTGGACCCTGATTCTGAGTCCCCCTGCTGGGTGTTATTGGCTTAGACTAATGGTTCAATCCTGCAATTGGGGCACAGCCCCATTTAAAGAGTTATCTTTAAAACTTGGATCTATTGCTCTCCTCATGGCCTGAATGGGACCCAAAAAGCTCTGAGGAAACTACTAGAAATTCTGGGTGATAGCTCTCTGCAAGGTCACCCACATAGCATATATTTGGGTCAGGAATTCTAGTCACCATCAGAAATGGCTCCATAATTGTCTAGCACTTCCCAGTTGATAAAGTGCTTTAATCTTCATTATTTCCTTCAATCTTGCCAACAACCTTCCTATGGAGTGGCAATTCCAGTCCTCTTTAGACAGACTAGGCAATGAAGTTCAGAAATCACTCACCCAAGGACCCAGTCAAATCCTTTCTACAGTTCCTCCCCATCTCCCAAATCTTCGCTCTTAAAAGCAAGACGTCCTATAAGCCATTTCTAAATGCCCACAGCTCCAAGGTGACCTCCTGGGCTGTAACTGTTTAAAGCAGTGGAGACCACACAGCTTGGGCTAAGGAGGTGGCAGAACAGACTTTACCTTGTTATTGACTCATCTTCTAGCAGTTCCAGACATCACCAGCAGGTGGGGCACATCCCCAAGCCAGGCTGCTCTGAGACCCAGAGGTTCAGACCCCAGGTCACCAGTAATCATTCTTCCTTTCTCTCTGTTGGAGTCTGACCCTTTTAGTAACCTCTGCATCCCACTTCACCTCCAGCCAGGCCAAGGATTGGCCTACCTCAGGAACAATTAAAAGCCACTTTGGCCAAGTCTCTCTTTAGAGAGTCAGGGGATGGGGAGGTAAGCGCCAGATCACTAAACCAGACACCAATTTCCCCAATTTCCAGTCAGAGTGTTGGTTGTGCCAGGGACCACAGAAGCCCTTAGTAGATGCATAGGTTTGCCCTCCTTCAAGAGCAGCAGTCATGAAAGCCCCCAAAGCATCCCTAACTTTGTGAATCAGCAATCAGGGAATCCCAGTAGCTCTGCTACAACACGCTAGGCAAAGCCCTGTTACCTGGCAGGCTCAGACCATGGCTAGTACTGATTCAATCAAGTGCTCTACAAATTAGATCATGGCTGCAAAACCCATTTTCAAATCATTAGAGGGAAGTACATGCACAATGGACTCCATACTTGGTCTTCATGATTTGGTCTTGCTCCAAGGCAGATATGATTTGGTAGTAAATACAATGACCTGCCACACTATAAAAGTGGCTTATGGCCCCTCTTCTTTCAGCTACAATGCTGAACAGTTCTTCTTTCTGAGTCTCAGTACCCCTATCTGTAAAAGGACCTTGAACCAAGTGTTTCAAGATCCTTCAAACTTTAATTTAAATAAAATAAAACAGTAAGTAACTTGTACTGGGCATTGAGGTGCCATGCTGGTCCCTCTCCAGGAATTATCTCATTTGATTCTCACAATATCCCTATGAACATTTCTGCCTAACGGAGCCTCAGACAGATTAGGTATAACAAACTCAGAGTCCTCCAGCTACCAGGCAGTGGAGTCAGAATTCAATCCAGGCAGCATAAGTCTAGACCACAGTTGGTTTGAGACCAATCAGCAGCCTCTCTAGGGAGAAATACCTATGTATAAACTGGGATAAAAATTGCCAAGATTTTGCAAGTGCTTGGGATTATAATATAGGAATTTCCCAAATCCTATCTTTATCTCTTTTGCAATAGAGAAAATACTGTCCACACTTTCCACTGTAAAAGGCAGAGTGTGTGGGGTCCTTTTTGGAAGCCCGAGAAGCAGGTGTGCTTTGTGTGGTGAACCCAATCCCCTTTAGTGGATTCCGGGGCTCCTTCTAGGAGGGACCACCCCACACACACACATTGCATTTTTACAACATGTGCAAAAGGGTCTGGTTACTAGATAGGGCTACCAAGATTCTCAAAGTTTATTATGCAAGAGAATCACCTAGAACTCTTGATTAGAATGCTGGTTCCAGAGCTCTACCACCAAATATCTGATTCAGCAGAACGAAGAAGGGGCCCTGGAACCCACATTTCTAACAAGGAACCCTTCCCCATCATACTCTGGCTGATGGAAGAAGAGTACACCAAGCTACCACGAGTCTTTGGAGCTTCCATGTTTCAGGGTGGTCTCTGGGACTCAGGATTCCAAGATTTAGTGAATATGTCCCCAGAGCCTAACCTGCCATTCCATCCCCATCAGCCCAGGCCACACTGGGGGAAGCATATTGGTGTTAGGATGAGTGTAAGTCATTACATTGCAACCTCCCACTGCCTCTTTACCCAGGGTCCCTGTTGAGGACTTCAGGGTGACACCTACCTCGTTGGCCTTCTCAGGAGTGCCCTTGGGGGAGGGGGAGGCAGGTGAGGATGGCAGCCTGCGCTCCCGCTCCCAGTCTCGATCCCTGTGGATCAGTTTGCTGTTGGGCTCCTTCAGGGTCCTCTTGAGTTCATTGATGCTGGCCTGGTGCTTCAGCAGGACATCCTCTGGCTTGTCCAAGAACTACAGATGGACAGACAGGACAGCAGTGTTAGGCGAACAACTCCAAGTGGGGGATGCAGGGTTTGGGGATGGTGGCAGCAATCACCATCACCACCCCAAAACCAGCAATGTGATCTCCCCAACACTGCCTCTCTCTCACAGCAACCCCAGGAGCCAAGTGAGCCAAGGAGCATCAGCCCCAATAGATACACTGACTGAGGCACAGGGCACTTGTGCTGACAAAGAGGAGACTCCAGATCAAGCCATCTTCTCTTCTCTCCTGCCTGGCTCCCTGACCTCTGAACACTCAACTCAACCAAAGCCCCTCAGGTCTGTGAGCCCAGTGGTAGTCAGGCACACAGAAGGCTTTCCTCTGGCATAGCACACAGCATCCACCAGAGCAAGAACTCCCTTGTCATGTGTCCTGGACTGTTCTAGACTTGCAGGCTAGCCTTCCAGGTCCCTCTGGGACCCTAGTTCCTACCTTTTGGTGGAGATTTAAACCACCATACCTAGCAGGATGTTCAGTCTAGGACCCTCTAAGGTCCAACCTGTGCAACTACTCATACCCTAAGGAGGTCCAGAGTGCAGATATGCCTAAAGCTAGTGCTATCCATAGAAATGGGGCCTGCTCCCTCACTGGGACCAGGGGCCCAAGAAAAGACTGTGAATCCTCTCTGCTGTGAGCCACTACCTTCCCCACCACCTGGATCCTCCAGATGCCTTTGGTGTACAGACACCAATAACAGATGGGCTGAGACATGGCCAGATACAGATTAGGATGCTGCGGGATGTTCAAAAAGAATGGAGACCAGGAAGAAGAGGGGTAAGTCCCAAAGCTGAGCACAAGAACTGAGCCAGGTATATCTGGAGTCATGGGTGTGTCCTCAATTAATCCACCAAGTCTGAGCTTCTGTCAGTGCAGCATGATGGAGTACTCTGCCTAGGTTTAGCGAGGACAAGCCACTGGTGGCCTGTCAAAGCTGTTTAACTGCCTGCCTCTAGGCACAGCATTGGGCCAGCAGCCCATGCATGAGGCTGTTTGAAGGCTCGTGGTAACTCTGTTAAAGGCAAGAAATGGACAATCTCAGCTTATTAAAGTCAGATCAGATGGGTTTAGGAGAACAACCTGAGAGTTAAGCACACCTTGGATAAACCTGGATTTTTCCTCTGGGCTTATCCATGGCATCCAGTGAGCCACTGTGGTTGACTCCTAAGCTCCCTCAGGAAGGAGACTGATCCCACTGGGGCTTCTACATCCCTCCAGACACCTGCCTTTACCTCTGGCCTCTCTCCCTAGACTGAACTTCCCACAGGAAGACATCTGCCTAGGAAGTCAAATCTGATGGAATCTGCACAAGGGGTGGGTTTGGGCTATAATACTTCATGGATCCCAATCCAGGAGGACCCCAAATAGGCCTGCTGGCTCTGTGGGCATGTCATGCTCCCAAAGGGAACATGGTACAGTGGGAATCTGGGAACCTGGGAGACTTGACCGTCAGGGCATTGAAGAAACCTAGTCCATGGGCCTGCTGTGGCTCAGTAGAGCACTGGCCTAGCATGTGTGAGGCACTGGGTTTGATCCTTAGCACCACATAAAAATAAATAAAATAATTATTTTAAAATACCATAACCATTATAAAAGGAAAAAAAGAAACCTAGTCTAAATGCCTCACTATGCAGATGGGGGCTAGGGCTCGAGGAGACTTTCCTAAGACCTTCAAAGAGTCAGTGCAGAATTGGGTTGGAACCCAGATCTCAGGGCTCCCAGGTCAGGCCCTTGCTATGGCCCAGCCTCTGGCCCTTTCCCTTGGTAGCCCAAGGATAAACCTCCTCCTCTTGGAAATTGTAAAAGGGAAGCAGTAGTGAACACAGGAGGAATAAATTGAGGGCCGGAACAAACAGGAAGAGGAAGAGAAAAGGAGAAGAGGCTTTTGGTGGAGCTGCAGCAACAGCTGCCCTGGAGGGAAGTGAACTGGAGTCTGAGCAGAGGCAGATGTGCTCAAATGCTCCCCCCTCCCACCCCCCACCCCCACACACATCTGGTTGCCAAGAGAAACCAAAAGAAACTCAGGTGAGGACACAGATGAGATGGAGGAGTGACCAAACAGTGCTGTGGGGGAGATGAATCTAAGGAAGGGTCGGAGTGGGGGATGCAAGGAGATGAGCTAAATGGAAGCACAGAGTGGCCTGGAAGAGCTGGTGGACACAGGTGGGGTGGTCAGGTAAGAAGCAAGCATGGAGCATCAGGTGGGCTGGAGAGGTAGAGGGTGAAGCTAGGTGGAGGGTGGCAGGGGTGAGGAAGGAGGGACAGATGGCTTGTTGGGGGCAGAGTCCAAGAAGGGAGTTGGAGAGATGAGCTTCCATAAGGGCAGAAGCAAGGGTGACTGGAGAGGGGGGATCACAGGAAGGAGGAGGGCAGGACCAGCGGAGATGAAGCTGAGGTGGTGTGGGGGGAATGAGCCGGGGAAGGACTGTGAGATGGTTACACATGAGCTGGAGGTCTGAATGGCTGGGTAGGGAGGGACAGGTCCCATGCAGTACCTCCTGCTTGTGTCTCGGCGTGGTTTCCTGCTCCGGCTAGTGGGACATGGCAGGAGGGAAAGGAACCATCAGGGTCAGTAGAGCAAACAGATTAGAGATACCGCGACTGGCCTGGTCCAGCAAGGTGGCCCAGCACGCTCACACTCCACCAAGCAGCACGGGCGCAGGAAGCTGCTGGGCCACCCATAGGGCAGTGAGGTAGCCAGAGTAGGTGCAGGGTGGGAAGCAGGGTACTGCCCCAGAAAGGCAAAGAAGGGCACAGGGTTCTGGAGGAAAGCAGGCAGAGCCACTCTTGGTTTGTGGGGCTCGAGGTGTCTGGGGCCTCATGCTTCTTGCTGCAGTGGGTGTGTCCAGGGGCCTATGCTCACATGGCAAAACTAAACGATGGAAAAAAAACCTGCTTAACAACTCCTAGAGGAAGCCATGCCTGGTCTATGTGTGCCCATGCCTGTGTGTGAAGCCTTGTGTGTCAGTCTAGGGGTGTGGGGGTGTCTGAGAGTGAGTGCATGTAAGGCTGAGATTGTGCATTACTGCAGGAGCACCGAGGGTGGGGTGCTAAGGCATCAGGAAGGGGACACACCTGTACCTCACCCTGTGAGGCCCATGGTGACATCTGATCATGCTCTGGGGAGGAAGCAGGCAATGCAGAGCCAGATTATAAAGGAGCAGACAAGGAGTGAGCCAGAGGAGGCCCAAGTCCTCCAGGGCACGAGGCCCCCCAGGGAGGCTGGGCAAGAAGAGGGAAGAGCATAGGTCAGACAGCATGCTCACCCCTGCTCCCAACCCAGGAAGGCCCAAGGGCAAGGCCTTGAGCACCCCACAGCAAGGGTGACTGGCCATAACTAGAGGTAAATCTAAACCATGGGTTGGCCTCTTGATCCCTAGTGCACAGGGTAAAGGAAAGCCAGGCTCGTACCTTTAGCTCCTTGATCTTGGTGGGGGTCCTGACCTCTCCTTCCTCAGCCTCTGACCGCCGTCCCCCGGACTCTGCATCCTCCTCCCGCTTGTCACCATCAGGCCCTACATCATGGTTTTCACTGACTGAGGCCGGGCGGGAGAACTCTGCTAAAGTGGGCAGAGGTGACAAGATGATTATGTGAGAGGTCTGTGCGTGGACAGGAGGTCAGCCCAGCTGCTGCTTAACCATGCTTTCAGTGGAGCCAACTTCCAAGCCTCCAACCTATTGCCCACTCCTAGTCACACGGCTGGTGAGTAGCAGAACTGTCTCCCAGCCAGGCCCCTTCCTACTTTCTGCAATGCTAGATTTCAAATCTCAAATCCAACTTGTGCTCTGTGACTTTGGGTAAATTACACAATCTCTCCGGGTCTTGGTTTTCTCATCCATACATAGTACCTGCTACAGACACTTGGGGTGAGGAACAAATAGCTAATGTGTGTAAGCATTTAAGAGAGTATTCAGGAAGGAGTGAGCCTTCCACTGATGCTGGCCCATAAATGTTGCTGTTTGGGCTGTGGTCACTTGTGACAGAATACTCCCTTGATCATTATTTAGCAATATACAAATATCGTAAGATTAGCTTTACTGGTGAAAACTAAAGTCCTAAAGATTGCAAATTACTTATCTTCTTTATAAATTAGTGAGAATTCAAGGGGATCCCTAGAGTAAACATATTTCTCACTAACTGGTATTTCAAAATACTTTTCTGAAATAGAAAATCGGGGTAGGATTATAGACCTCACACTAGGCACTGAGCATAAGCCAATCACACTCATGGATTGAGTGTTGGTGAAAAATAGGCTGGAAAACACTGAATTAAAATAGCTAGAGCATAGATATTTATCCTTGGCGTTGGCCTCCTCTAAAAGGAGAAAATAGAGAGAATAATTATCCTTTTTTGTTATTATTGTTCCAGGGATTGAACCCAGTGGCACTTTACCATTGAGTCACATCCCCAGCCCTTTTATTTTTTTATTTTGAGACAAGATCTTTGTAAGTTACTCATGGCCTTGCTAAGTTGCTGAGGCTGGCCTTTAGCTTGTGATCCTCTTGCCTCAGCCTCCCAAGTCACTGGGATTACCGGCATGCATCACTGAACCTGGCTAATCATCCTTTCTCTTCATGCATACTCACTTTGCAAAGTACCCGTTTTTGCACACTATTTCATGTGATTTGCGCAATACTCTGTGTTGATGGCTACCATGGGGATTACTATCCCTATTTTTACAGAGAATAAATTGAGACCCTCAAGACAGGAAAGGTCCCACTGGTGATCTTCCCGTGAGTCTAGATGAGAGCCTAGACTTTGGGCTTAAGAGTCCAGACTTCTGCTTCTCCTCTGATGAGCTCTGCCAGCTTTGAGATAACCTCTGCTGATTTCTGCTCTCCAAAGAGTGGGCTTCATTTAGCCCCTGAAATAGGAATGGTAACTGCAGAAGGGAAGCAGAGATTGTCGTTTCCTTTGCATGAACCACACATGCATTCTCCTTGTAGGATGTCAATCTACGCATTGCTGAGCTTCTTAGGCAAGAGGCCCAGAAAACCATCTGGCTGAACCTAGGAGCCCACAAGGTCATGACTCAGGGAAGCTGTGGGAAGTCCCAAGAGCAGCAGTGGCACATCCCAAGTGGTAGTGGGAAAGTTGGCACTGAATCACCAAGAGCTGCCTAGGTACAGTGGTGCTTCAGGGCTGCCATGATTGGTATGAATGAACTTGCAATGTGTTCCTGCTCACTCTGCTCACTAAGAATCACTACTCATTCTGCGGAACCTGGCATGTCCACTCCCTTACTTGCCTCTAAAAAACACTCTTCTCCCACTTCCAATGTAGGACATACCTCCATCAAGGCTGCGGGACATGGTGTACCGTTTGCTGGAAGAACGCTCAAAGAAGGGTGCAGGCCTGTCAATGAGGGCACTGGCTTGGCGGGTCTGTGCCTGGGTCCTCCCACTATACCGGAACTTGGAGCCCATCACCAGGAAGCCCTTTGGTGGAGGCTCAGGGGACACCAACCTGCAGTGGAAGGATGGAGGTGAGGAGGGAGGATCAGACCTGCATTGCCAGGCCCAAGGTTAGACCACAGCAGGCCTTCTGTCCCACTGCCCCATCAACTACAACACCACGAAGTGGTCCAGGAAGAGGGAGACTTGGCGGAAGGGGGTGCTTCCCTGCCATCTCCACTAACTTCTCCTCCTGCTCCCCTCTACCCGTATGGCCTCTGCTTCATCCCTGCTTACCCCAGCCCAGTGTCAGCTCACCGGAAGAACGTGTGATGCTCAATGCAGACCTTCCACAGTCTCTTGGCTGACCGGTGATTTGGGAGCTTAAAGCCAATCGTGCTCTCAAACTGCTCGTACTAAAAACCAAGATAGGTGGGTAAGAAGCAGGCTTGGGCCACTCCCACCACCAGCCCATCCTGTCTGAACCTCTTCTGGGGCATGTGCAACTTTGGCTGGTTCATTCATGTAATAAACAAGGCGGATCAAGCCCTTCCTCTAGGATAGACCTAGTGCTAAATACACAGCCACCGTGGAGAACAAGACAGAAGATGCCAGGGAGTGCGGGACTCAGATAATAAATGAGTAAACAAGGTAACTGCAGATATGAACAAGGGCTATGAGGAGAATAAAGGGAGATGTGCAAGAGGAGGGGACAACTGAGCATCCTGGGGTTGGGGTGACTTAGAAAAGATGACCAGGGCTGCCCTCTAGCCAGGTGTGCTTTGAGCTGAGATCTGAAGGATGGGGACATGCTAGAATTTGGATCTTCTTTTTTAATATTTATTTTTTAGGTGTAGATGGACACAACACAATGCCTTTATTTTTATGTGATGCTGAGGATCGAACCCAGGTCCCACCCGTGCTAGGCGAGTGCTCCATCACTGAGCCACAATCACAGCCCCTAGAATTTGGATCTTAATGTGCTCCAAAGGGCCGTGTATTAAAGGCTTAGTTCCCAGCATGGTGCTAGGTGGTGGGGCCTAGCAGAGGTTTTAGGTCATTAGGGGCATACCGTCAAAAGCACTTCTTCCTTTTTTTTTTTTTTTTTTGGTATGCTGGCCCTGAAATTAAGTTTGGTCCTACTTGCATGCCTGCCATGTTGGGGCTCTCACCACAGGCCCAAAGCAATGGAGCCAATCAGACAAGGATTAAAATCTCCAAAACCATAAACCAAAATAAACCTTTCCTCTTTATAGGTCTATTATCTCAGAAATTTTGTTACAGTAACAGAAAGCTAACACAGGGAGGAACCAACCATGTGAGAAGAGGGGGAAGAGACTTTTGGGCAGGGGGAACATCACATGCAAAGGATACAGGGGAGGAAGGAACTTGATTTATTCAAGGATTGCAGGAAAGGCTGGAGGGGCTAGAGCATCGTGGGTATGAGGAGGAGTGGCAAGAGAGAGGTGGGAAAGGTAGGTGGCCATGGGAATTCAACTTCAACCCTAGAGCTAAAGAGCCCTCCTGAAAGTTCAGGCAACAAGTGTGAGGAAGGTGAGGCTGGGGGTTGGAAGGATTCAATTTAAAGGATTTTAAAGATCTTCTTAGCAGCAGAGGAAAATGGCCTGGAGCACAAGAGGAGGAAGGGAAGCCAGCAAAAGGGTTATGTGAAGATGTCGATGAGAAATGGCAGCTGTCGCAGCCTTCTGTAGCAGGGAGAAGAGTATCAGGTGGGTCACAGTTACTCTAATGGTAGAACCAAATGGCTTTGGATGCAAGAGATGTGGAGTTGAAGGGAAAGAGGTGTGGACACATATCTGTATGTGTGTGGTCTCACACCTGTGCATTCGCATACATGCTGGAGGACCACATGCAGGCCAACATGTGTGCACACACATGTACTCATTTATCTGTGTAAAGTGAACTGTAGTTACCTTATTTATGCTCGTGTGTGTGTGTGTGTGTGTGTGTGCATGCATGAGCATGCACACATATACCCAAAGTGTGATGTCTGTGGGGAGCCAAGGAGAGGGATCTCTCTGTCTCCCATGATCCCCAGGACCCAGTCTATGTATCCTGGGTAAGAAAAATTCAGGCCAGCTGCACTTGGTCAGTCCCAGGAGGAGCAAGGGGTCCCAGGGCAGGCTTACCTCCCCAGGCCGGATCTTAATATAGAAGTTACTCCTCTTGTAAGAGATCTTAAGAATCTTGGGCCAGGCAAATCGGTTGATTCTCAGCCGGTCCCGGTAAATAAGCAGACCATTGGCACAGACACCTAACATGATGTCAATGCCCTCAGAGTCCTGCATTATAAAGATCAGGGGAAATAAAAAGTTATGAACTTTGAGGAACAAGAAATGAAAATGTTCCAAGTTGCAGGTAACACAGGGTCTGGCACACCAAGTCCTCTGGAGGGGCTTGATGGTTCCTCAGGGGGAATGCAGTACCTTGGCATGGTGCAGATCAACTCCATACATGGAAAGCTTCTTGGCATTCTCAAGGAAGTGGATCTCTGCTTCTCCCGGGGTCATGCCCCTGAGGGAAAGAAAGTGATCACTCAGGACTGTGGGAAAGACCCAGGCCAAATCCTGCTGGCTGAAGGTGGCCACCATCAGAACCCATGCTTCTAGGACACTGGGTAGCTGAGCCTCATTTGAGTCCTTCCCCTCTGTCCTCAGGGCAGGAAGGTGAGCCCACCATCCCCACTTCTGTCCAGCCATCCCCATCTCCCACAAAGCTCTGGTCCAGTCTCGTTTCCTCCAAAAAGCAGACAAGGGCTGGTCAGAGTCATATTTTTATCTCATTTGCTACTGAATTAAGCAAGAGCTATAAATCTTCCTCCTCCATGACTGTGACACTATTGCTGAAGACATCGCTCATTATAATCACCCAAGGCTCCTAAATTATTACCCACATAAGATAGGTCTCTCAGAGTTTTGTTTGAGAAGCTACTTTATCTCTCCTGGAGAACAAGTACACATTCTCCTTTCTGAAAAGAAAAGTTATGTAATTAATCAAGGTTCTTTCTTTGCTTTGGCTGTCGGGAAACTCAGGCTACATTTTATACTTAGTCACAGCAACTGTTTTTTGAGTACCATGTGCGGGTTACTGTTCTAGGCACTTTATGTATATTAATTCACAGAATCCTTATCACAACCCTATAAGGTAGGTATCATGGTCATTCCCATATTACAGATGAGGAAGCAGGGAGGCTGAATAACTAGCTCAAGGGCCCACTGCTATTAAGTCACAGAGTCAGTATTTAACCCCAAACAAGGTGGCTCCAGAATTCATACTACTAACCACTTCATCACATTTTTCTCTTTTGTCCTCCAAGCCTGTTTCCTTTCCCCTGTCTACCTCTGGGCCACTATGTGCTTGGGACACCTGGATGCTAAATGTCAATGTGCTTTAAGTCCAAAGAGCTATAGAGACAATCATTAGCTTATTTCCAGCCATATTGATCTGAATATCCTTCTCTGAATTATTATGACTCTTGCAAATCCCCAAGGCACCTTGCTATCTCAGACAGGGATGACAGATGGTGGGCAGCCCCTCATTCTTGTGCCCAGATGACCACGGCTCACCAGTCAGATCCTACTCAACACAACACCAAGCAGAAAGTACTAGCCAAGCATGGCTGGTTTGCAAGTCTCTGAGAGATGTACTTGCTGCTGCCCTTGACCCAGCATTCATCACACCCCAGCAGGCTCTTCTATGCATCTTCCACCTCTCCTCTCCAGATGCAGCCCACAGATGCAACCCTCGTCATTCTCTCCATCCTCCATAGTAACAAGATAACATCACCATGGCCCTTCCCACAGGCAAAGCACTTCACTGTTCATAAATGCACTTTCAAATCATTTATCACATTGGGTTCCCTTAACAACCTTAAGCTAGGAGCCTGAAGTACTTCTAGCTTAAAAGGACCCTAGATCCATTTTGATCCAGGGGTTACCCCCAGGGGTTAGGATGCCCTACAGAACAAGCACTTGGAAATAGTGGTGGGGAGCATTTTGGTTGTTACAATAACTAAGTGGTGTTGTGAGCACTTAAAGCCTAGGACCCAGGGAGGCTAAACATCCTACACAATGAACTCTCCTGCGCCAAACAGCAATAGTTGAGAAACAGTGATTGGCTAATTCTGTGCATTTATACGTGGAAAATAGGGTTTTCAGAGACTAAATAACCAGCCACAAACACATATCTGGTTAATTATCTTCTAACTCCTAGAATAAGGTGCTTTCCACAGCACAATCAACTACTCAACCTCTCAACTCACAGATAGCAACCCTAAGAGCCAACATTCAGTGTGTCTTTAATATGTGCCATGTGGCCCTCCTGACAACCCTACAGGGTGGGTTTACTAGCACCACATTGAACAGATGAGCATGCCAAAGCACAGGGAAGTAGAATGGTGTGCCAAGATCCCTTGGTTAGAAAGCAGCAGAGCCAGATGGCGAACCCAAGCAGGCTGGTTTTCGAGTCCAAACTTTTGAACTTTATGCCAAGATCCAGACATCAGGATGCTTACTTGGAGGCACACAGCAGTTATTATTATGTCCACAATAACTCTACATAGTTATTATTATCTCTAAGTGGCGGATAAACTGGTTTTCAGAGACTCTGGCAGGGAATTATCACATCCATATAGGAACTTAAGAAACTGAGGCCCCAAGAGACTACTTAAAGTCACATAGCTAGTCACTGTCATTCCTGTCGGATGGAGATGATCTGCTCCCAGACACACCTCAGGTTAGGAGCAGAGGCAGCTGGGGTCCAGAGAGCACAGCACCAGGAGTCTAGGACTTTCAGGTCTGCAAAGAGTCCTCTGGTCAAAGGCCAACAGGCCCTCTTACCTATATGTCTTGTGCAGCTCCATGATCCTCTCCTCCAGCTCCCGGGTCTGGTTAGGAGCAAAGCGGAGCTCACTGACGTAGTTGCCCACATGTTCCTCGGCATCATAGTCGCCCAGCTCTGCCTGCACAGCATAGGAGCCCAGCAGGGCGTGTGTGACAAAGGAGCAGGGCAGCCGGCCTGTGATGATGTCTGCCCTCAGCTGGAGGCACAGGTAGTACCTGGAGAAGGGAGAGAGGATGTGGGCTTGGGCCTGCGCCTTCAGACCCCCCAGCCCGGCTGGGTCCCTGGAACCAAGTGGCTCAACACATGGCTCGGTGGAAAAGGACACCCCTAGACACTGGAACTTCATGGGTTGATCATTTGGCTGTATCCTGTGAGATGATTCTGTGACATTTCACACCACTTTCAGCATTTTGGCACATTTCTAAATTTGAAGGGTCTTTTTTCTACCAAAAGAGTATTTGTAATGTCTAATTCATTTTCAAGCTCAATAGGACTACTTTGCTGGTTTTATCCTTTTAAAAATGTCCTGTAATTTTAATTATACAATTAATATAGTCTTATAAGGAAAAAATACAACTTATGAGGTGATTCTAAATTTCCTGTTAGTGCCCTTTTTCATTCCTAATCTCCTCCCCAAGGTCAACACGGTTATCCATGTTATATTCTAGATATTTCTCCACCAGACACACAAAAATGTATGTGGTTTTGATGGATGGGTGTTTTTAACTTGTAAATGGTATTGAATGGTATATCTGATTCTGCAGCTCACTTTGTCTCACCAAAGACGTGCCGTATGTGAGTGTAGTGACTCTACCTCATTCATTTTAACCTCTGCACTGTACTCCACAACCCAGATGGACCTGCATGCCAATGCTTTCCCAAAACTTTTTATTTTGCCTCCAGCTCTAACTGAATTATCTAAAAAATAAATTGGTTTAAAGAAACATTTTCCGACCACCAAGCCATGATTTTTTTATAACTTATAGGCACACTTGGATGATTTTACAATTTTTAGTACCATTTAAAACCATTTTGTTATTGCTTTTTTGGTTATTGTGCATTCAAAATAATTTTTTTTTAGGATATTTTCAGCCAGTGATGCCTTCCTGCCCATTTTTGCTGTTTCACCATTTTTTTTTCAACTGCCTATTTCTCTCTCAAATGGCTTTTACTTAGTCCAATTTTTAGTACTCTGTGACATTTTGGAGTCAAACTGAAGCCTTGTCAAAAAAGTACATGTAGCCTCAGTGTGTGCTCTGAGCCAAGGTGTAGACCCAGGATCAGTAGCTCAAACGTCATAAGCATCAAGTATGGGCCTATGACATTTTGTTCAAAAGTCTAAAAATTCAGAAATTACTGCCAAACTCTCTGACCAATCTTTCATTTCAATCAATTTGTCATTTTGACCAGTTTATTTTGGGCCTAACTATTTTTGACTAGATCAGCTGCTCCTACCACCCCACCTCCAGGGGCCATCTGTGCTGGGCAGGGCTAACTTCCCTCTTGGTGTTCCTGGAAGCCCAATGCCCAGAGTCTGGCACAAAAAGGAGAGGTACCAGGGGACAAGACTAGAGGGGATGGGGGCTGTGCTGGCCTAAAGCTCTGGAGTTCAGATCCAACTGCTGTCACCTTGGCACTGAACTAACCTAAGGGCCCAGAGTGGGGCTAATGAGGCCAAGGCCTGGGGCCTGATCTACTCCAGGAACATCTGTCTTCTCTCCCAAGGCCAGAGTCAGCATCTTGACCTTGGTCTGTTGTTTGTCAAATAGGCAGCAGGCATTAAAAAGGGACCTGAGGGCACAGAGGAGATGGCTTAGCAGCCTCTCCCACTTCAGAAGAACTTCAAACCCATTCTTATTTTGGGGGTGTAGGGCCTATGACATGAATGACACAGTCCCAGGATAGCCTGACATGAGGGCATCTCTTTGGCTGGGGCTTAGATAAAGATGGGGAATCTTCTTGCTCTGGTTCCTGGAGACAAGATAAGCCCATGGAAGCTCCCACTCAGAAGGATGCTGGGCTCTTCCTTTGAATATACCCTCAGGTCACCTTATCTACTGGCCCGAGGCAGCAGACTGGGTATGCAGCCATGTTCATCCCGGCACCCAGACTGCCCTCCCCTCCATGGTGGTCACCGGCCTCGTCTGATCTCCACATGCCTAACATCTACACAGAATGACACACAGGACCAAGCCCCCACGTGGCACAGGCACTCTACTCTCTCCTTATCTCCAACACTGCAAACTGGTGTCCACCAGCACATCAGCCTTCACTTGTGTGGGGTTTGTCCCAACACCACTTTTTAAAAGTTTGCATCTGTTGCCAACATTTCAAGCTTGCAGTTTTCACTCTCCAATCTCTAGATTCACTACAAAATTAGGCCCAATTCCCATGGGACAACAGTGGCTGTTTTAAATGGACTCAGTTCTCTAAGTTCACAATGGGACATAAAGACCACTGTGAGACCACCTTCTCTGAGGTCAAGGGTCAGCTGCCACTGGCCACTGCATTTGCCTCCCTGTTTCTCTCACACAGCCTGCTACCTTTGCCAAAGGCCTGGCCCCAGCAGATAGCCACGTTTGAATCTGCTGTTGTTTACAGTTCCATGTCTCCCAGGCCAAGTGCCCTTATCCATAATCCCCACAGGGCCAGTACTCCTGGCCCACCCCTCACCTGGTGATGTCTTCCGTCAGCTGAGCTGGGTCAGGGGGGTAGAACTTGACTGTGAATGCAAAATTCCAGGGGCTGCCTGAGAGGAGAAGATGGGGAGAGATCAGAGAGACCACATCACTCCAAAGAGTGGCCCAGATGCACCAGCCTACCAGCAAGTCTTCAAAGTCTTCTCCTATCTCTAAATCTCAAGACAATCTAATCATGGAGCCTAGAACATTGTTCCCATTTGACAGATGAGGAAACTGAGGCCCAGGTTGAGCCTTGTGAGCTATCAATGGGAAGATAGAAAGAGAACTACTGCTGTATATCAGGCACACCGTGAATTACTTCACAAATATCACTTCACTTTACCTCGCAACAACCCTGGAAGTCCTGTGATTAGCCCCACTTTGCAGGTGAGCACATGGAGGCCCAGGAGATAATAGGCTCAATTTCATGTGCATTTGTAGTATTTAATCTTCATAACCACCCTGAGGTCAAGTTTCCTTTTTATAGTTGAAGATTCTGAGAGGTTAAGTCACTCTCCTGGTTGGTGGCAGAGAACAGGTATCCAAATTCTGGTCATCTGATCCCAGAACCCAGGGTCCTGACCACAAGGACTCCTGGGAAAAAGCAGCCCCAAGGGATATCACTGTCTCAGGGATAACAGTAATAATAAATAATAACAATAGCTAGTACATGCTGGGTGTACTGTGTACAGGCACCTTGGTGGATGCTGTACCTATGATAACATCACTACTTCTTGTGCTGCTGAACTGTTCTCTGCCTCGGTTGCCTTACCTGGAGCCAGGATTCAAATCCAAGCCTTCTGGCCCTAGTGTCTGCCCCAACTGCCCCAGGGAAGCCAGAAGAAAAAAGTGAGCGACAAACCTGTGCTGGGCACTACGCATGCATTTGTCATTTAACTGTCACTCCCCACCACCACATGAGACAGGAATTATTAGTTCACATGCCAAGGAGAAGCAAGGGCCCAGAGGACTTGCTGCAGGCATCCTAGGTGACGGCACTGAGGCTCTGGAGGAGCTGCACCTGATGCTGAAGCTCAGGACACAAGGGCTCATGAAGCCACCTTCAGAAAGCCGAGGGGCTGTTACAAACAACAGAAAGGAGGCCAAAGGGCAGGTGTAGGATGAACGGCTGGGAGGTAGAGGAGGAGGGACAGAGACTGGGGATCCACTGGAGGAGGCACTTTCTAAGGGCCAAGTGTACTCCTTAATGGTTTAAGGTGCCACAAGGAACAATTGCTACATGCCTGGGCAGCGCTGGAAGGCTATGGGCAAGCTCTGGAGGGTGGAGGAGGCCAAGGACTGAAGTCAGCTGACTGCCTCTTCCCCAAGCCCTTGGTCTTCACTAAACACTGTACTCTACACTTGGCTGCCTGTACTTGTTTCATTTCCTTCAAGCATGAGAGGTAGGCCTCTGAGCAGGGCTGGGGCTGCTAAAGGACAATCTAGATCCCAGGCCTAGGACCCTGTCAAGCCCAGAGAAGTGCGTTCTGCCTGTGGCCTGCCTCTTTGTCTTCAACTGACAGGAACCTACAGGAAGAATTCCTCAAGCCCCCTCCCTCGGAGTCAGCTGGCATCCCTGGGCCCAGCTGCCTGCTGTCATGGCAACAGGCTCTGCTACAGCTTTCCAGCCAGGGGACCAGGGAGTCCAGGAGAGAGCACCACAGCCAGGGGGAGGGGCCCTTAATGGAGGCATCTCTGCCTCCAGGCTCTGTATCCATTTAAAGACTGAGGCCCCTTGCGGAGGCAGCCAAACTCCCACTTCTTCCATTTGAAAGCTGCCACAGCCCTCCTAACATGCCTTTCTCTCTAGGCCAGGAAGGACAAGTTGAAGGCCTGCTGTCTGCCCTCACAGGGCCTTGAACAGAGTGAAGGATGGGGTTGGGAGGCCAGGGCTCAACTGGTTCAGCCAACACCTGGCTCTGTGACCTTATGTAAGTAACCACCTCTCTGAGCCTCTGAGGAAAGGGGCATTGGTTACTGAAATCTGCACTAGCCCTGGGCAGGAGGGTGACTGTTTCCAGGCCATCTGTTTGTCCCCTGTCCTGAATAACTCTCAAGGTACCTTCTAGAACTAATGTCCTAAATGCATTTATGATTCCTCTGCTAACTTGCCTGACTGCACAGTCATTTCTCTTCTCTGGACCTCAGTCTCATCATCTGTGAAACAATGTCAACATCATTCCTGCCCTGTCTTCCCCTAGACCTGCCATGCAGAGCAAAGTCGGAGGGAGCAGTTCACCCAGCCCACCCTTCTACCGCATCTCCAGCCACATCAAGCCACTCACTCCGGATCTGCTTCTTGATTTCCTTGGAGGGATCCAGCCAGTTCTGAAAGAGAAAACAGGGTTCTTTGGAGGGAAGATGGAGGAGAGGGCCAGACGGGGTTAAGGGAGAAATGTCCTGAAATTGCCAGTTGGGAAAACTTGCTAGTGGGGAACACCCTTCCCTGGCAAAAGAAGCTTTTCCTTTGGGACAGAAAGGTGAGGGGACTTAGGTCTGGATTCCCTGCCAGAGTTAGAACCCAGCGCCCTGGGGCAGCCACAGTGACCAGGTATTGCAACCACAAGGGAAGGAAGAAACACTGGCAGGGCTTCTCAGTTCATCTAAGCAACTCACATGGCCATGCTGTGGCTCTCCAGATACCCATATTGGGTGACTATAAGTCATCAAGAAAGGACTGGGGATGGGGTGGAGACAGAACAGAGGGTGGAGAGGGCTGGCTGATCCTTGGGGACATGCAAGTGGAAGGTGCCTAATGAAGGTCTGATGGAAGTCATGGGATATGGCCAGGACTACAGAGACCCTTGGGGAGAGGCCTACCCTCGCGGCCGGCCCCCAGCCAGGTACCTTCTGGCTGTCAGCATCGCAGAAGGTCAGGCCAAAGTAGTCCTTCTCCAGGAGGTTGAGGTGCTCGCAGACCAGGTCAAACAGCACCTGGCCCCGGCCATGCTTCTAAAGGATAAAACAGAGAGGCAGTGAGGTTAGAAAACACCTTAGGGTGGGACTGGGAGCTGCCTTTGGCTCCACCTGGACACCCAGAAAGTTCTCAAGAGGCTTCCAGTGTCTGGACAGGACCTCAACACTCCTGCCACATGGCTCTGCTGAGCTGTACAGGGCACAGTGCTCAGCCCAGCCAAGCCTTCTTCCAAGTCCTGCTGGGGTTTCTCCAGATCGTGGACTTGCTTGGGGCAAGTAGAAGTGGAAGTGTGGGGAGTGACTGATTTCTCCTTCCTTACATCAATCAAGAGAAGGAGTGGAACACCAAAGTCCTAAGCTTCGGGTGGGAGAGGAAGAGAAGAATCCCCTAAAAAGTGAGAGCCAGGGGCAGGGGAAGAGGGGAAGGCCTAGACTTAGAGTGATAGTGTGACTTTCACTAAATCTAAGTGAGATCAAGAGAGACCAGTCTGGAGGGCCACGGCCTCCCCAGGTGGCATGTAAGGTGGAAGAGAGGCTCAGGGGACCTCAACCAGCCTCCGCTGAAAGCAGCACAGTTGGACTCACCTCTCCCCACTCCAAAGCAAGGAGGCCTGGGACTACTCTGAACCACAGACACAGCATGAGGATTTAGCACAACAAAGCCCAAAGCCAGTCTAGTAAGCCAAACCCACAGGTGTGAAGACAAGCACCAGTCAAGAGATCCAGGTCAGGAGGAACACGAGGCAGTTGCCACCCAGTTAGGGAACTCCAGAGAAAGAATGAGGTCTCTTCAGGGACCAGGCCTGGACAGGAGAATTCCTGAGCCTACAGGAGCCCATCTGAGAGAGTGAGCTGGTTGAGCCAAACACTCCAAGCACTTCTGGGGCAAGCTGAAGCAGTCGCTGGGAACCATGGGCCAGGAAAGAAAGGGAAAGAGAGAGCCCTTTATTTTGCCCAGGAGCAGGGAAGGTGTTTCACCTTGAAACCCTCCTACCAAAGAAATACACATAAAAACAGACAGAACCAAAGCTTGTGGAGAAGAGGGGCCCAGGCCTACCAGAGTTCAGAAGTAAGTCAGAGGCTGGTGCTGTAGCTCAGTGACAGAGCACTTGCCTAGCACTTGTGGGGCACTGAGTTCAATCCTCAGCACCACATAAAAATAAATTTTAAAAATGAAGGTATTGTAAAGAAAAAGAAGAAGTCACATCCCGTAAAACCAGGGCATGGGGGAGAAGGGCTCCTATAGATCTCAGTGTTGGGGCCACCATCTGAACTCTTCCACACATGTAGAGAAGGGCTGGGTGCAGGGCCCAGGCAGAAGCAAACCTCTAAGGAAGGAGGGGCTCAGAGTGAGGCAAGTCTGAGCCCTTACTGGACGGAAGACACTAAATGTAGGGCCAGAGGGTTGGAGAGGAGGCATCTGTTATGCTGCTGCTGTGAGGCAGGGACCTGTCACAGGGCCTTCCACATGGATGAGAGCATCCTTCCCAGGGGCTGTTTCCCTGTGCTTGGGTGACACATTTACCACGGATAACTAGTTTGTCCTGGAGACTAGAGATGATGCCCTGGATAGGAGTATTAACAAAGAAAGGAAGATCCCTCCTTAGCACCCCCTGCCAAAAAAATAAAGGGGGATTCTAGTTTAAATGTAGGTATCCGCTAAGGTGAGATTGAATAGCCCAGTTTCTAAGCCCCGTGATGCAGATCAGCCCTTAGATGGTAACATTCTTGCTAGGGTATAGCCACCTTTTCCTCGTGCCAGCCCTGTGCCATGTCTAATTCTGTTTGCAATCATAATGGTCTTTCTGGGCCTTGTCACCATCTGTACAAAGAAGGGCCAGGCCAGGTCATCTCCCCGGACACTGCAGTTGGCTCAGGACTCCTCTGGTTTGGCCAGGCTAAGGACACATAGGAACCTGCCCTGGCTCTGAGGCCGGCCAGCCAGCGACAGGACATATGGTGCTGGGTGCTCCCCTACCTCCACCTCACACTCATACTCAGAGGCATCGAGCAGAGTGACTCGGCAGATGGCACTCTTGTACTTCTTGGCAATCTTTTGGGGTGATTTCTGGGCCTTGCTGGGCGTGGTCCTCTCTGATAGGCCATCGGCCTCGCTGTAGTCCTTCTCCTCCATGTCTAGACTCTGTAGGTCCAACCAAGAAAGAGTCTGGTCATTAAACTTGAAGCCATAGCCTTTCACACAAACAAAAAGCAATCAGGGATAGCTGGGGCTGGACAGACTCCACCATGAGAGTCACTGCCCTCTGTGATCCTCAGGGTAACCAGGGGCCATGGCTTGGTGTGTATAGGAGAACTCAAGTTTCCATGGGCAATGAGGGCTCTTCATCTGAGTCTTCCCTGGAGGCTGCTGCTAACAGGGCAGCATCTTCAGGCAGGAGTCTCCCACAAAATCAAGCCCATGACTAGAGCTCTCCTGCCTCCCTGGAATAGTGTGCGAGTTATGGGGCAACCATCTGGCTCCTCCTTCTCGACTGTCACAGGGTTAGCATGAGGCTGGCAGCTGTGGATGGATCACCTGGAGGCAAGGGCCAGAGCCCAACCCTGACTCCCTCAATGACCTTGGTTCAGTCCCTGCCCTCCTTGGGCCTGTTGTGAAGTAAGGAGGTATGAATTTGGGGGTTAGATGATCCTTCAAATCACCCCAAAACTTTAAGGTGCTCCAGGGTCACATTGGGCTTGCTAAGCTAGAATGAAAAGGCTCAAAGGTGGGAAAATAAAGTTGAAAGAACAGTTTTTGGAGGTCAGGCCTAGCTTTGAGTTCTGCCTCTATCACTTCAAGGCAAGGTAACTTTGGGTAACTCACTTCATTCCACTCCATCAGTTTCTCCAAGTGTAAAATGGAGAAATGAGCAGCTACCCTCTGAAGTTCGGAGAATTAAATATAAATGGGATCGCGATGCTCCCAGCATAGTGCTCAGCACATAATGGGTCACAAATAAATCTTAGTTTCCTCCTTCCTTCCTGATGAGGAAACACTGGGTCCCTAAGAACTGGAACCCCCAGGACTGGCTGGGCAGGAGGAAGGCCCTCAGGCCCTCAGGTGCATACCTGTTCAGCAGGCCGAGCGTCCTGCTGGGGCGGTTGCTTCTCATTGGAGTTGGCCTCTGGGTGGCCGTGGCCTGCGGGGGTCACAGGGGTGGTCACAGCAGCAGCAGCCTCAGGCTGTTGTGGGGCCTCCTCCTGAGCCTTCTTCACCTCAGATTCGGGGCCTGTCTCTGTTGTCATGGTGACCAGCACGCCTGCATTGGCATGAAGGAGAGCATGTGACAGGGGAAAGGGACAGTGATAGTGTAACAGAGGGGGCAGGAACCACATGCAGAGAGAGACAGATGGAGACAAATGGACAGAGCGAGAGAAGGAGGGAGGGAGGGATGGGGGAAAGGGAGGATGGAGTCATGAGAAGTGAGGACTTAGTAGCAGCAGCTGAGGTCATAGGCCCCCCCTCCCACCTGTGCCCATAGATCCTCAAAGACTCTGATCTTTCAGCCCAGACCTAGAATCTGAGCCCTTTCTAGGGATAATGAGGGTTTCTTTAGAGAGCCCCCATTCTACCAAGGAGCACAGGGTGACTAGCCCCAGGCAGGACCCTGGCCAGGCTGTCTCCAATAGTACCTGGCACCTGCTATTCCCTCAAAAACACTGAATGCACTGAACTCAACCAAGAGAACCCTGAGTTTCGGACCCTTTGGGCACTGAGTCTGGACAAGCCTCTTCATGCCCCAAGCTGCAATAATTCTTGCACATACATCTCATTCCCACCCCCAGGGATGCTGTCAGGATGGGCCCACAGGGATAACAGTAGGTAAGCACCTGTTAAAAATACACCACCCTACCCATGTCAAAGTCAGGGGAATAGGCTCTGGCCCAAGCCTGCCACAAATGTGGCAATCACTTTACCTCTCTACAAAGTGAGGGACTTAAGGTATTATTTCTGGGACAAACTATTCGTTCTTTCCCCCTCAAAGCATTAAATGAAATTCTAGAGAGAATCAAGGACCTAGTGTTCAACTATTTTGTTGAAATTAGTCAACTGGAGAGAGAAACAGAGAGAACAGCATAGTCATATTTACATATTTAAATAATAACCTCAGCACCATATGTTTGTGTTTTACACAGTTAGGAAAAGATCTGAAAGGACACTCACCAGAGGTTAAAGGAAAAGTGAAAGAGATCTTGGGAATGGGGTGAGATAAGCGAGAAAGTTTGATTTTTCACTTTATATCATTTGGAGTTAACTTGTATCTTTTTAAATGGGTGGATGGATGGATAGACACATATTAACCTACAAGTGTTATTTTAAGGGCAAAAGCACCCACACCTGATCCCAATTAGTGGATCCTCAAAAGGGGTGGGGGGGTGGCTTGTTGCTAAAACCAGGGGAACAGAGAGATGAGCAGGAACCCTCACCACTAAACGCAGGCCCTTCCTCTAAATCCATCAGATTACTATGTATGAGAAAGATCCAGACTAGACCCATCAGGCCCCTCTCTCCACCCCATCCACCAGGGTAGGCCTCTGATGGCCAAGTAGACACTGAATCCACTCTAGGCAATGCAGAGTCCTTGCCCCAACTTCCTTTATTTTTCTTGCAGTGCTGGGATTGAACCTAGGGCCTCATGCATACTAGGCAAGGGCTCTCCTACCCCAGCCCGTTATTTTTATTCTTTGGTTTCTCTCTCTGCATTCCTGTGGGCACTTGTGTGGCCCAAAGTAAAAATACTGGACAGAAAGTCAGGAACCCTAAGAGCCCCACTCAGCCACAGGGGCACCCCAGGGCTCTGGAGGGGTCATGGCATCCTCAGTCCACACAGAGCTGGTCACAAGCGGAAAGCTTTGTGAGCTGGAGCTTCTAGCACAAATAAGACGGTGTGTTGTTATGGATGCTACTGTTAAGAAGAAAGATTAGGAGGGCTGGGGGTGGTGGGGGTGGTGCACGCCTGTCATCTCAGCGACTCAGAGGCTTTAACAGGAGGATCACAAGTTTGAGGCCAGCCTGGGCAATTTAGTGAGGCCCTAAACAACTTTGTAAGACTCTGTCTCAAAATGAAAAATATAAATAAGGACTGGGGTTGTAACACAGAGGTACAGTGCTTGCCTAGCACGTGTGAGGCACTGGGTTTGATCCTCAACACCACATAAAAA